CCCCACAGCCACCAATGAGTGGTTCAGGGGATTGTTGTCACTGTCCTCTCCATGTTCCTGTCCCTGTGTCCCCACAGGCACCAACCAGTGCTTCACCCTGGGGGTTCAGGGGGTCATTCTCACTGTCCCCCGTGTGTCCCTGTGTCCCCACAGCCACCAACCAGGGCTTCATCCTGGGGCTTCAGGGCATTGTTCTGTGTCCCTTCTTGTGTCCCTGTCCCCTCTTGTCCCCTCTGTGTCCCCACAGCCACCAACCAGTGGTTCACCCTGGGGGTTCAGGGGGTCGTTCTCACTGTCCCCTCTGTGTCCCCACAGCCACCAGCCAGGGCTTCATCCTGGAGGTTCAGGGCATCGTTCTCACTGTCCCCCCTGTGTCCCTGTCCCCACAGCCACCAACCAGTGCTTCACCCTGGGGGTTCAGGGGATTGTTCTCACTGTGCCCTGTGTGTCCCTGTCCCCTCTGTGTCCCCACAGCCACCAGCCAGGGCTTCATCCTGGGGGTTCAGGGGGTCGTTCTCACTGTCCCCTCTGTGTCCCCACAGCCACCAACCAGTGGTTCATCCCGGCCGTGCGGGGGGACATCCCCCCGGGCTGTGCCGCCTACGGCTTCGTGTGTGACGGCACGCGGCTGCTGGTGTTCGGGGGCATGGTGGAGTACGGCAAGTACAGCAACGACCTCTACGAGCTGCAGGTACCCCAGCACCCGGGGAGCCCCCTGAGCACCTGGGGAACCCCTGGGGAACCCCCTGAGCACCTGGGGAACCCCTGGGGAACCCCCTGAGCAACTGGGGAACCCCCCCTGAGCACCTGGGGAACCCCTGGGGAACCCCCTGAGCACCCGGGGAGCCCCTGGGGAACCCCCATAGCACCTGGGAAACCCCTGGGGAGTCCCCATAGCACCCGGGGAACCCCTGGGGAATCCCCTGAGCACCTGGGGAGCCCCCCCCGAGCACCTGGGGAACCCCTGGGGAAGCCCCCATAGCACCTGGGGAACCCCTGGGACCCCCCCCGAGCACCTGGGGAGCCCTCTGAGCACCCGGGGAGCCCTCTGAGCACCTGGGGAACCCCTGAGGAACGCCCTGAGCACCTGGGGAACCCCTGGGGAGCCCCCTGAGCACCTGGGGAAGCCCTGGGGAACCCCCTGAGCACCTGGGGAGCTCCTGGGGAAGCCCTTTGACCACCTGGGGAAACCCCCTGAGCACCTGGGGAACCCCCTGAGCACTTGGGGAACCCCCCCCCCGAGCACCTGGGGAACCCTGAGCAGCCCCTGGGCAGCTGGGGGACACCTGGGGAACCCCTCTGAACTGTGGGTGACCACCTGGGAACCCCCTGGGACCCCCCCCAAACCGTGGGTGACCCCCTCAAAACCCCCTACACACCTGGGGACTCCCTGGCAATCCCCCCCAAACACCTGGGGACCCCCGGGAACCCCCCTGGACCATGGGTGACCCCTTGGCACCCTCCCAAACACCTGGGACCACCCCCAGGACCCAGTTTTGGGGTCCCCTATCCGCCTGGGTGCCCCCCAATCGCAGACCCCTCCCCAAATCCCACATCCCCCCCCCATTCCAGGCCTCTAGGTGGGAGTGGAAGCGGCTGAAGGCGAAGACCCCCAAAAATGGACCCCCCCCTTGCCCTCGGCTGGGCCACAGCTTCTCCCTGGTGGGCAACAAGTGTTACCTGTTTGGGGGGCTGGCCAACGACAGCGAGGACCCCAAAAACAACATCCCCAGGTACGGGGCACCCCAAAACCCCAGGGCACCCCAAAAATCACAGGGGTGACTGAATGGGAGGGGGCTTGGGGCTGGTTTGGGGGGCACACAGGGATTTTTGGGGGGCGTGGAGGTGAGCCCGAAAGATTGGGATCACCTTTGGGGGGCACAGGGACCTTTGAAGGTGCACCCCAAAACCCTGGGAGCACCCCAAAACCCCAAGAATAGAGTTGAGATGGGGGGGCTTGGGGACATTCCCCAGCTTTGGGGGGACAGGGGGACCTTTGGGGGACACAGAAGTGACCCCAAAACTTTGGGGTTACTTTTGGGGGGGCTCAGGGATCCCTGGCAGGGTCACAGGTGACGCTGGCACCGTTCTGGGTGCGTTTTAGGGGATTTGAGAACCCTTTTAGGGTTGTTTTATGTCCCCAAAGACTCTTTTAGGGGTGTCCCATGTTCCCCACCACCCTTTTAGGACAGTCCCACATACCCAAACACCCTTTTAGGGTTTTTTTGGGGTCTCCTGACCTTCTCAGCATACCTGAACCACCTGCACAAGCGGGCACAGGTATTTTTGGGACCACCCTGTCTGCATTTTATGGGATTTAAGGATCTTTTAAAGCAACCCCATGTCCCCAACCACCCTTTTAGGACAGTCCCACATACCCAAACACCCTTTTAGGGTTTTTTTGGGATGTCCAGATGTTCTTAATCCCCTCCTCAAATATCTGAACACCTGCACACATGGACACATGTGTCTTTGGGGCCATTCTGAGTGCATTTTATGGGATTTAAGGATCTTTTTAGGGCAGTCCCATATCCCCAAGCACCTTTTTTAGGATAGTCCTGTGTATGCAAACACCTTTTAGGGCAGTCCCATATTTCCTAGCACTCATTTAGGATATTTTTGGGGTCTCCTGATTTTCTGAACCACCTGCAGATGTGGGCACAGGTGTCTTTGGGACCACCCTGGCTGCATTTTATGGGATTTAAGGGACCTTTTAGGACAATCCCATATCCCCAGCCACCCTTTTAGGGAAGGCCTAAATATCCAACCATCCTTTTAGGATTTTTTTGGGGTGTCCAGACCTTTTTAATCCCCTCCCCACACACCTGAACCACCTGCACACATGGGCACAGGTGACGCTGAGCACGTTTTATGGGATTTAAGGGATCTTTTAGGACAATCCCATATCCCAACCACCCTTTTAGGGAAGGCCTAAATATCCAACCATCCTTTTAGGATTTTTTTGGGGTGTCCAGACCTTTTTAATCCCCTCCCAACATCCCTGAACCACCTGCACACATGGGCACAGGGGACGCTGAGCACGTTTTATGGGATTTAAGGAACTTTTAGTGCAGTCCTACATATCCAACCACCCTTTTAGGGTTTTTTTGGGGTCTCCTGACCTTGTCAGTCTCCTTTTCAGATACCTGAACCACCTGCACACATGGGCACAGGGGACGCTGAGCACGTTTTATGGGATTTAAGGAACTTTTAGTGCAGTCCTACATATCCAACCACCCTTTTAGGGTTTTTTTGGGGTCTCCTGACCTTGTCAGTCTCCTTTTCAGATACCTGAACCACCTGCACACATGGGCACAGGGGACGCTGAGCACGTTTTATGGGATTTAAGGAACTTTTAGTGCAGTCCTACATATCCAACCACCCTTTTAGGGTTTTTTTGGGGTCTCCTGACCTTGTCAGTCTCCTTTTCAGATACCTGAACCACCTGCACACATGGGCACAGGGGACGCTGAGCACGTTTTATGGGATTTAAGGAACTTTTAGTGCAGTCCTACATATCCAACCACCCTTTTAGGGTTTTTTTGGGGTCTCCTGACCTTGTCAGTCTCCTTTTCAGATACCTGAACCACCTGCACACATGGGCACAGGGGACGCTGAGCACGTTTTATGGGATTTAAGGAACTTTTAGTGCAGTCCTACATATCCAACCACCCTTTTAGGGTTTTTTTGGGGTCTCCTGACCTTGTCAGTCTCCTTTTCAGATACCTGAACCACCTGCACACATGGGCACAGGGGACGCTGAGCACGTTTTATGGGATTTAAGGAACTTTTAGTGCAGTCCTACATATCCAACCACCCTTTTAGGGTTTTTTTGGGGTCTCCTGACCTTGTCAGTCTCCTTTTCAGATACCTGAACCACCTGCACACATGGGCACAGGGGACGCTGAGCACGTTTTATGGGATTTAAGGAACTTTTAGTGCAGTCCTACATATCCAACCACCCTTTTAGGGTTTTTTTGGGGTCTCCTGACCTTGTCAGTCTCCTTTTCAGATACCTGAACCACCTGCACACATGGGCACAGGGGACGCTGAGCACGTTTTATGGGATTTAAGGAACTTTTAGTGCAGTCCTACATATCCAACCACCCTTTTAGGGTTTTTTTGGGGTCTCCTGACCTTGTCAGTCTCCTTTTCAGATACCTGAACCACCTGCACACATGGGCACAGGGGACGCTGAGCACGTTTTATGGGATTTAAGGAACTTTTAGTGCAGTCCTACATATCCAACCACCCTTTTAGGGCAGTCCTAAATATTCTACCACCCTTTTAGGATTTTTTTTGGGCTCTCCTGACCCCATATCCCTTTCCTCAGGTACCTGAACGACCTGTACGTGCTGGAGCTGCGCCCGGGCTCGGGGGTGCTGGCCTGGGACATCCCCATCACTTACGGGGTGCTGCCCCCTCCCCGGGAATCCCACACGGCCGTGGTGTACACGGAGCGCGACGGGCGGCGCTCGCGCCTCGTCATCTACGGGGGCATGAGCGGCTGCAGGCTGGGGGACCTGTGGACCCTGGATATCGGTATGGGGGGTTTTGGGGGGGTTTTAGGGGATTTGGGGGGTTTTGTGGGGTTTGGAGGGGGTTTGGGGTCAGGGGAACCCTTTCCTCACATCTGGGGTCGTTTCCTCACGTTTTGGGGTCGTTTCCTGACATTTTGGGCATTTCCAGAGACGCTGACCTGGAACAAGCCGAGCCTGAGCGGGGTCGCTCCCCTCCCCCGCAGCCTCCACTCGGCCACCACCATCGGCAACAAGTGAGTCTGGGGGCGACCCCCCCCAAAAAACCCCCCCAAATCCCCCCCTATTTATCCTGGGGGGGTCCCTTTGTGTCCTTGTCCCCACCCCACGGGGGGTTGGGGTCCTTAGGGGGGTGTTTTGTTTTAATTTAATTTTTTAATTAATATGAGCAGTTTCATGAACCCCCCACAAAGATAAAAATTTGGGGGGTGGGGGTCTCTGGGTGTCCCCCTGACCTCTGACCCCCCCCAGGAGGGATATTTTTGGGCGGTGGGTGCCCCTATGACCCCCCCACGAGGAACATTTTTGGGTTCTGGGTGTGTCTGTGATCTTTGTGACCCCTGTAGACCCCCCAGGGATGTGCAGGTTTTTGGGGTGGGGGTCTCTGGGTGTCTCCCTGACCCCCCCTGACCTCTGACCCATCCCCCCCCCCCAGGATGTACGTTTTTGGGGGGTGGGTGCCCCTGGTGATGGATGACGTGAAGGTGGCCACGCACGAGAAGGAGTGGAAGTGCACCAACACCCTGGCCTGCCTGAACCTGGGTGAGGAGGGGGCTTGGGACCCCCAAAACTGACCCCAAACCCACCCTGAAACCCACCCTGAAACACCCCAAACCTCAGCCTGGGTGAGGAGGGGGCTTGGGACCCCCAGACCCACCCCCAAATCTGTTCTGGGATCCCCAAAACCGACCCCAAATCCACCCTAAAAACCCCTGAACACCTCCCAAATCCCCCAAAGCCCTCCCCAAATCCCCCCAAACCCCACTCTGAGCCCC